TGTCAATTTCATTTAAAATGTAGGTATATCAGTAGCAATTACAGAATATATCATTGTTTTTAACGCACAGCCTTTTCAGAAATCTGTCAATTTGTCACAATATTTGCCTTTTAACAATACTTTTATTGTGAGCACTCTGTTTAAGCAACTGCTAGCTTTGTTTACTAAGGAGCTGTTAAGATTTCGACTGTGCCTGGAGCTGGTATGTCTCCGCGCTGCTCCTCTGTTGACACCGGAGTCGTGTTTACCCCCAGCTAAGTCACGCTGCATTGTCTGTTTGCTCCTTACATAACTAGGACATCCAGTGACAACAGTCGGCAAACTCATAGAATGTTCGGCCACAACGGTTTTAAAAATGGTCTCTGAAAGCACGTGGAAGTGCGTGTTAGCTCTTCCACACACTGTTTAGACAAGTGCGCTCATTAGTAACCCGCCTGTCGAGCCGCTATGTCCCTATATAGCGTGGAAAACTGGACGTGGGACAGGCTGTATATCCTTCACCCAGGTATGGCGTTTAAGAAGTGAACCTATGTGAAGTGATGGGGTCATTGGCAGCTTAATGGTTTGTATGCACACAAGCGGTGGCTGTAAAGTTCAAATATCCTCTTGAAAGAGCTGAAAAACTGTAGCAGAAACAGGTCACCTTTGCAAGAGTCAATTCTTCATCAATTTAACTATAGATTTTCCTTTATTAATTTGAATTGCCTGTACTGATAAGGGATAATATAAATATATATATATATATAATATATATATATATATATATATATATATATATATAAGTATATTTTGACAATGCTGAACAAACACATGGCCACAACACTATCATTTCATAGAAGGCATGGATAGTTGAAGGACAGCAGATTTTTTGTGTACAAATAAGCTACGTCGGTTTTACCTGAGTTATCTCAAAGGCATTCAAATATAGGGATAATTTTTTTTATCAGGATTTTAGGCTGGTCTGCAGTTAGCATACGAGTAAATTTCTCCATTGTGAAATCAATGAAGTTTCACCTTGTTGTCAGGAGTGACTTTGTTTTGGCCTCTGAAGGTTACAAAATGATGCTTGTTATGGATTGATTGCAGTTAATAATAAGGGAATTGGGAAAGTGACATGTATTTCAAAGAAGGAAAAATCATAAGTTGTTAATTATTGATATCATTGCAAAGTTTCTCCTTGTCATGAAAGTCACTTAATGGAATAAAGCTTCTACCTTGGCTAAAGTTTTGCTATTTTAGGTGGTCTGCTCTTTCATGCATCTTCATGACTGTGGATATTTAAACATTTCTTACATAATGCATACATCTAAAATGGTAAGGCACAGGTATGGAGCTGCCTTTGATATTCTGTGTGCATGATATCTGCATTAGTTGAAATATTCCTGCAGAGAAACTTTAAAGACAGCCTGAGGGCAATAATAAAGTTCAATTATAATATTCAATTGCTGGGATTTCACCTTTTTCCCTTTTTATGTGCATGTGTTTTCTCCATGAACCAGTGAAAAAGTCATCTATTCCTCGCCTGAATGGATGAAAACGATTCGAAGTCTTCCTCTGTTTTTAGTGTTGCTCGTTACTTTTCAATAGGGCTCGGCAATCACGCGTCCAGAAATCCATCAGAGAAGAGACAGAGAAAAGGTTTCCTCCTCCCGAACGCCGCTCCTGTCGGCTTAGATTGAAAACACCTTCATTCTTACACTTTTAATACGGCAGACCTGCATAGCAATAACCTTGTGTAGATCTGGGGGGATGTCAAGGAATCTTAAATGACTGCTTTTTCAAATTCTTTCCCAGAGATGATAGAATAAAGTTGGTGCGTATTGGTTAATGAGACAAAACAAATTTCTTGTGACTAGTGTGTTGTGCACACTTCTGAAAACTGCAAATGCAAAGTGGAATATTTTCACCTTTGAATTTAATATTGTGAAGAATTCTTTTATTCTGTTTTTCTCATTCAGTTGTAGTTTTCTTGGCACGCTTGCTCTGGCCGTCATGATTACTGATTCTGAAAATGATTGAAATTTATTGCGAATTTTTTTTATATAATATCCCACTGATACTAGTAAAATCCAGCTAAAATTATTCCAGTAAAACATTTTTTTTCAAGTAAAAACTAGTCAAGTCGATTTATAGTAATTATTGTGAAACTCCTAAATGTTTTTGGCCCATCACAATTATTATTATAATCAACTGTTTTTGTCATTTGGTGCAGATTTTGAAAAGCCTTATGTTTCATTTACCATTCATTGCAGCCTGATCTTTAAATATAGGACTTAATTTTTTCTTAACTGCAATTTGGGAGTTTGGAGAAATAAAGGCTGCTCTCCACAGACCATCAACATTCATCAGCCCCCCACTGCTACAGCTCCTGTCAACTCTATTATTGTTCCTCTTCTGCTGAGGCTCTGAAATTACAATGGGCTGCCTATTATTAATGCAGGGCTCTGGAGTAGCCAAGAACCCCAGAAAGTTGTTATTCATACATTTTACTGAAATTTAGCTGCTGATGAAAATATCATAAAATAACCCACCTGTAGGTAGCCTGGCCATAGCCATCCGTACACTCCGCTCAATCATTATTTCACTGCATGTAACGTCTGGGTCTAGTCCCCATGTTAGCGATTACAATCGGTTGAATTTCGACCGACCATTCAGAAAGTCAGAAGGCAGGTGTTGTAGTTAGTTGTGGGTGATGTCAAGAGTTTGCGTCGAACAGGCAGGTTGTAGTTTGGTAATGGCAAAAAATGCTAAAGTAAAGTAATCCGGTCTGGTTCTATCAATAAATTGAAGCCGGAGCAAGGGTAATGTTTAGCAAATGTAATCGCTGGAAAAAATTGTGGCGCTACACCCCACGGGAGATGGCTAGGCTAAATGCTAAATGCTAACAACAGACTCGGGCACACTACATACGTCACGGTAAACTCAGATCCAATCGTTTCAATCTTCTAAAGGAGTTAACCCCTCCCACCTGTAAACGGAGCTCAATGGAGCACCTCCAGACCTTAATACGAAATGTCATTTGTACTATGGTGTGTTACGACCAGGCTAACCTGTAGGTATTATAATTATTATGCCCTGCACCGATTCTAGATCATGTAGATGGTGTCTGTCCATCCCTTCGACCTGTAAACCCTAATATCCTTCTTTCTGGGTATACGCCTCAAAGCAATTCCTTCATTCTGCCCCAACAATAACTTTGGATGGAAGACTGCTGGGCATAGCTCTGTGTCAGTGGGACTTTATTGTAATTAGGCGTCTTCACATGGGCTCGACTCGGCTCTGCTGAGTTTGCACGTTTGCTTTCTCAGAGTGACGAGTGCTGAGGTGCTAAAGCAGCCTATGCTGAGCACTACTTAAGAGCAGGACCATTGAGGGCAGGGCTGCTGTGAGCAGGGGCAGGGCTGCTGTGAGCAGGGGCAGGTCTGCTGTGAGCAGGGCTAAACTTACAGGAGTCTCTTACAGCCATCGCTGAACAATCACATGGCCTCATGCAAACGGCATAATATGCTAAAGATTAATTATATACTGTATTAAAAAATCTTACATAGATTTACATGCGCTGAAGTTTCATTTTGATGACAATGGAATGAAAACGAGTACTTTTGATAAACTGCAGCAAAGGAAATACACATCATTTTAGGTTTAGTTAATTTAATTTAATCCTTAATTCTTGTATAGCCCTAAAACACAACAGAAGTTATCTCAGAGGACTCAACAAAACCATTGAAATCGCCAACACAGATCAGAGAATCAAATAGTTAAAGCACAAAAAATATAGAACACATGATGTTGGTCCATAGGGAGTTGACCAATGTCCATGAGTGTTGTAGAATGTTAAGTGTCCTGGATCATCGTCCTTTTTGTTAGACCACTGCAGTCTTACAAACCCTTCTGCATCGGGAAGGAAAAACTCTAAAACCCAGTGGGAGGAGGAGAGGGCATGGATCTGATAATACACGGACAAAACAAACACTGGATATGAACAAAAGGGGTTTCACTATTAGACCTGGAGAACCTTGAGGTCTGTGAGGATCACGCTTTATTGCAGCAATCAGAGCTCCACTCAGTACAGGGAGCACCAGCCCCTCACTGATCCTCCTGCAGGTGGTGAGTCCACAGGAGCCTAGATCTTCCAGCGGGGGCTTCAGGCAAAGTGGGATTAAGTGTCTTGCCCAAGGACACGACGACAGCAGTCATCAGTGGGAGTCATGAAGTGGGTCTCATGGTGGGCTCGAACCCACGACATTCAGGCCTGAAGGCCAATGCTCTACCAACTGAGCCACTGTCACCCCAACTGGAGGCAAAACTTGAATGTACAACACAAATCATATTTTTAGGTTTTTTTGTTTTGTTTTTTTGAGCCCTTCGGTTTTTTTTTTATTATTATAGGCCTTTACCAAATGGTTGATAGTTTGAAATCAAGTGAGACGCCCCAAAGAGGTAGATTTCAGTTCCAAGCTTCAGGTAGATGTAGTGACTCAAAAGGTGATGTACCAAATGATTGAGGAAACTATTAAAGGGTTAAGGTCAACAACATTTTGGAATATATTAGAATTTGTTTGTCATTTTGTGGTTTGATAAATAACTTTTATAACTTGATGCTAGTTTTGGGTGAATCCCGCTGAGTTTACAACAGTAACGGTTCAATAAATCATGAATAGGACAAACCTGTGCTCTCCAGTACGATCATATTGTGCCTATATTACTTACGGGGTATAACTTGAATAAAATCAAATAATTTTCGAGCTGTAAATAGTCTTTTGGCTCAGAAATTGTTCAAATAATCATCTTTCATTTTGTCAACTATCATGTTTGTGACTTTATTCTTTAGTTTAAAGTGTAGCCACATTATGCATTCAAAAGTTACTTCAGAATCATGGATCTGTGAGCGACTGACACTTCCTGACACTGTTTTGCACGAGCAGACATTTCATCACGGCCATCTTCAGCATCTTCATTAACCACCTCGTCTCTTGTCCCCCCCCCCCCCCCTCCTCCAGGTCTCCATGGCTGCCGCAGGTTCCGCTCCTCGACGGTGAACCACAGTGCCTTGTTGCTGCAGCCTGACAGCCCGCGCCTGTACGTGGGGGCTCGCGGGGCCGTGTTTGCGCTCAACGCCTCTGACATCTCATCCAGCTCCTCTCTCAAGGTTTGTTTATGTGGCAGCAGGTAGCAGCAGTCTCATTTGCATAGCGCACCGCGGACCCTTTTCCCTTTCCTGTGACAGTAATATATCGCCGCCAGGCAAAGATCATTCCCTTGTTACATCTCCTCGTGGAAAGTGTGAGTAATCGTATTATTTTGAACATGGCCACCAGGGTGTGTGGAAAAAAGATGGATTTGCATTAGTGAAAACAAGAGACAGAGGCTTGTAACTACTGTACGTGTAATTTATGCAATCCAGAACACAGCCATGGTAATTAGAATCACTCACATTTGGGTGTGTTTAATTCACAGCAGGAATTGGAACATTTTTGAATATACTTCTAGTTTATTTTGGATGGTTCCTGTTGAAATAAACATTGACAAAAGAGAAATAGTGGCAAACTATCTTTTTTTACATAGTATTAGTGGTTATTTATATAGCGCATTTTTACAGAACAATTTAACCCAAAGCACTTTTCTATGTTCAGAGTTCTTTTTCATTCTCTCCACACAGTGATGATGAAAGTGAGAGGCCGAACACATTGGTGCATCAAGGCCCCCAATCAACACCATCCATTCACTTATTCATTACATTCAGACTTATTGTAAATGTTTTTAGTGGTAGGGGAATCCGGAGCACCCAGAGGAAACCCACGCAGACACGGGGGGTACATGCAAACTCCACACAGAAAGGCCTGGAGGTAGAATGGAGCCCAGGACCTTCTTGATGTGAAACGCACGCTCTAACTGCTGCGCCACTGTACCACCCCCTAGTTAACAAACTTATGACTTTTCACTATATGTTAAGTAAGACATGTTACATTTGTATTCATCTTATGGAACAGTTGACGACAATAAGGTATGTCTACGTCTGAAAAAGAGTATTTGGTATTTTTAGGAACTAACTCATGACATCCGCTTTTCTATATATTTTTTCAGAACTATGGCATTAGACTCAGATTTCTGTTGTTGATTTACAACTTTCCAAACTCTGGATATAATATGTAAAAGTTTCATAACCAAGTTCAATCACTTGCATAAACATGGACATTTTTTAAGCAAGCCAATTTCCTCGTTCTGGCAGTTTTTTTCTTTCTTAGGTCTAGACAGGCGTGTGATGAATGTGTACAGAACAGATAATGTCATTAGAGGGAGCCTCGCCGTGAGCCACACTAACAGCTGGGATGTATCTTCACCTGGAGTGCTGCTGTGTGCGTCTTACTTAATGACACTAAGCTTGTGTGGCGTTACAATCTCTGCTGCTCGAGTCAAGTGTATGAAGGAACACAGCCCTCCTCCGGCTCCGGCTGACAATACTGTGTCAACAAGGCCTGCAAAACACTGCTGCTACTTTACTTCTACTTACTGCTTTACTTTCCCTTCAGTAGCAGTATGTGTGTGTTGTGCATACATACACACGTACAGATTGATGCCAGTTCAAGAGCAAGGGGTTTGGTCTGTCCTTCATAGCTAACTGAATTTGGATTTAGATTCTATGTAGGTTTTATAGGTTTAGTATCTACATCGTATAACAGAGGTCAGGAACCTAGATGTGGCTCTTTTGATGATTGTGTCTGGCTTTTAGTTGGTAGCGTAATATAGCTTGATTGTAACGATGTTTGAAGAAGAGATTCTGAAACTAATATTACACTCCAAATGTTTTTTTTTCCCCCGCATATTTTCAGTGAAAACGTCTATGGCTCCCTCTTCAGTATTTTCTTATTAAATTGATAGTGATAATTGATTTTCTTTCATAGTACCAATGTTAAGGAACTGATTTTTTTTCTGACATAGCAAGTTAGTTTTCTATCCATGAAAGACATTTCTTCACATACATTTCTTTGTCTTTATATTCCAGCCCGAAGACATTTTGAAACTAATTAGCAGCGATAGTTAAAGTGCTGATTTCTATCCTGAAACAAGCCAAAATGTTGATGAACCCTTTTTTTGTTCAAAATCCCACACCAGGCCAAGTTCATTTGTATTTTCTCTTTATTTTTCCCTTGGATTTAATTCTATATAATTGTGCTCTGCAACTACCAGCATGTGGCATTTCTGTTAATTCACTACGAGTAATTTCAGAATAGAATAAATGTTTGAACTGAAACTGTACAATAAGAACTGCTGAGTCTGCAAATGTCATCCATCTGTAAATAAGTACATACTAAATCATGTGCAATACTGCTCCTTCAGAATGTCACTGAACAATGTCACTTTACTTTATCTACTTCTTATCCTGCACTATATGTACAGTATATAACTGCACTACTACATATATGTAGTATATATCCTGTATTATATTTTATTTTGAAAGACTGGTATCGAAGCATTTACAGCATTTACAGATAGTTAAAGCTGCACTAACTGACTTTATTTTCGTATTAATTACGAAAATGCTATCCATGTCCATGTAGTGCATTGGGATATACGTCCTTTTGAAGAAAAAGTAGCGCAGATTTGTGCTGGCCTGACATTATATTTTCGATCGAGTTTTGATGAAACAAGGAAGAGAATGTGTTTCGGGTCGCAGATTGTGACCAATCACAGCGCACCACTAGCCCCCACTTTCGTGAGAAATCTCCAGGTCCGTTAGCATAGACAGCTGAGTTAGCACAACAAGCGGCGGAGCTAACCTGAAACTTTCTCGTCTTCGTCACCGGGTACTGCTTACACAGCAAAACATCCATCCAAAAGAAAGTCTCGTTCCTCCGCACTTCCCGGTTCTATCGTTCTATGGTCACGCCATCCACGTGAAAATCCATATCCATGTATTATCCATATTGGGAGACGCTAGCTCCGTCTCAACACTGTGTGTGTGGGGGGGGCGATAGCTTCGTGGGTGCGGGGAGGGGAGCAGAAAGAGCGAGGCCAGCGAGTCCGCGGCTTCAAAATCCCAAAGTCAGTTAGTGCAGCTTTAAGTAACATAGCTACTACTTTTTTGTATATTTTGTGTGCTCCCTGTGTGCTCTTACTACTGTCCTGTCTGTGCGCTGCAACATCGAAATTTCCCCACTGTGGGACGAATAAAGGAACTCTTATCTTAAATGATTTCACATTCATCCATTCATTAGATTCAAACGTAGACTTGCAGATATAAAGCTGCTTGTAATATGCGCACTACTAAGATTTCTTAGTTTTATGTCTTGACTTTCACAAGTCTGTATGAATCCTGAATGTCTTGGCTCTTTCTCACCTGTTTGCATGGTTTGTGTTGCAGCTTGAGTGGGAAGCGTCCTCCGAGCAGAAGCAGCAGTGTCTGACCAAAGGGAAAGATAACAAGGTAGAATTTTGTTGTTTTTCTGTCTCATAAATCCTCCTCTTCGCTGCGTCGCAGGGGTATTCTTCACTCACTGTTACGTTTTTCTCTAAAAAAGTCTTGTGTGTTTTGCAGACAGAGTGTTTTAATCACATCCGATTGCTGCAGCGATTCAACTCGACCCATCTGTACATGTGTGGGACTCACGCCTTCAGACCTCTCTGTGCATACATAGTAAGTCCAGCGAGAACCACCAGAGACATCGGGCTCCAGCAAACTAATGTAGAGCAGGCAAAGGAGAATACAGAATATTAAAAGCCTGGGGTTTAAAGTAACGGCTGGAGTTCTGCGGATTCCATCTGTTTAGATAGAGCCACAAGAATTAGCTATTTGATACAGATTCAGATTCAGATTAATTTTATTAGCCATGTGCAATATACTACTACTAACTACATTGGAATACATTTGCAAAAAAGGTACTCTGTGTGCACCGACAGAATAAAGAGTACGATACAATGTAATATAAAATACACATACACTGAAAATAAAAGAATAAAAAAACAGCTGACACTGTGGCACTGATCAACAAAAACGATACAAGGGGTAGAAGCAGGAATTAAAGTGCTCTGTTTAGGCACCTAACAGCCTGTGGAAAGAAGCTGTTAGCATAGCGAGATGTCTTGCATCTCAGCGACCGATATCTTCTGCCAGAGGGAAGAAGCTGGAACATGGCTTTCCCAGGGTGGCCAGAAGAGTCATTGATGATTTTAAGAGCTCTAAACTTATACTTTCATTGTACTAAGATTAAGAGATCCTAAAACAGTTTTTTGTTTTCTTCCCTTTCAATGGAAAAATGGATCCTAGAAGATATGTTATGTACAATAAAAATTAAAAGTGACAATGTATTAATCATGTCATTATTAATTTTCTAAAGCTTTTTGATAAGCTGTTTGTACAAATATTGCAAGCAAATACTGATTTCATACAAGAGAATAAGGTATATACTGCATAAGTGTATGTATGTTCATTCAATCATCAGCAGAGGAAAATTTCCCACTAAATACTCAACAAAAACTCTCCATAGGACGAGAAGAGCTTCAAGATGTCCTCCCCTGAAGAAGGCAAAGACAAGTGCCCGTACGGTCCGACCACTGGCTACACAGGCCTCGTTATAGGTACGTCCCCCCAGCCCCTCCAAAGGTCAACAGACGACTCGATAACATTTTAGCGAGCAAACGAACAACATGTAGATGAGCTATTGATATGGATTTTTTGACCTTTTCCTGTGGACTGCAAACATTCCCTGCGTCTAACAGTGTTGTGGAGACAAAGAGCGGAGGATGGTTTCAGTGTGAGTCAATGAGTAGTGTTGAAAATCTGGTATCAGTGTCCTACATGTGGCGCTAATGCATTGACACACATACCATAGACGTTTGTCACATGCTCAGGTCGACAGTTTAAGTATTTGTATTGCTTCACTCAACCTGTCTGCCTTACATTTACTTCCGCTTTGACATAATAGCTTGACTTCTGTAAAAGTTTTGGTTACTTCTCGAGCTGTAAGTCTGCAAGCAACTTTATTTTGTTGACAAGATAAAATGTATTTGGTTATTTTTATTTCTTGAACTGGCCCTGCTGCTTTATATATGCTCTTGTTATAAGAATAGTTCCTCTAATGACTTTAATTGTAAATTAAAGTCATTAGAGGAACTATTTGTTATACCCAGTTATATTGACTCTGAGGTTTTTCCAATCCATCTCTTGGATCACCAACTACTACTTCTTCTGTTTGCGCTTGTCAAGAGCAGCGGAGAGTATTGAGTACTAAAGATAGTATCGGAATGAAATACTAATCTGAGCAGTTGTGAATGCTAAAAATAAAAGACCATTGACCATTTGACATTTCTTGATACATTTTAAGCTGTACCATAAGAATCTTATTGCCTCCATAAAAATAATTATTTTGAATTAAAGATTGTTTTTTCCCCCCCTAAATGGTAAATAGTTCCCATAGAGTATTTTTTCTCTAGTTTTGAAATCTAGTTTGAATTAAGATTTCTGAGCAATTCTACTCCGCTTAGGGACGCATTCACACTTGTTGGTTTCACTTTATCTCAGGGGGGTCTGAGAGTTCAGTTGAAGATTTTAGGAAATGGGAGGAGTCTGCTGTGCTCCTGCTGGATCTGACATAAAACATGTAGCCACAGCGGCCCTTTCTGGACCGGTTTGGACACCTCTGCTTTAACTGGGCCAAGTCGGGCTAATTTGGGGCCAAAATGGTTCACCGATTTGTTTCAAAATATGTCAACTGTGGACGAGTGGACGCCCGTTCACCTGTTTGATGGTTTTACATTCACAGATAAAGCTTTTTTCCAGTGAACAAGATCAAGTGTGTATGTGCTCTTAGTCACATTATCAGCCATGTGTTATACATAATGTAGTAATTTGTAGAGTATTTAACGCTAACACAACCTAAATGACTCACAAGTAATAATGGGGCCATGACCATAGACGGGGAATAACATGACTTCCACTTAACACATAGCTGAGTGTGTTAGTAAAGGGAGAACGGCTTAATTGGCCTTGTTTACACTGACTTGCACGTCTCATTAGACCAACAGATCTACACAGCCACCCAGTATGAATTCCGGAGTTTTCCAGATATCCGCCGCAACTCTCCGTCTCCCACGCTGAGGACCGAGGACGCACCCACGCGCTGGCTCAGTGGTACGTTTATTTTCAACTGTCAATGCTCTGCTTTATAAACGAGGTGTCTGTGCTGGAACTGCGAACAGTCAGACGTCTTTGTCCAATTAGCGGCTTACAAAGGACTTCATTTTTCAAGGATTCACAGGTCTCTAATAAACACGGATAGTCGATGTTGGCGCTTGGATCATTATCCAGGTTTTTTGAGGAATTAAAAACATTGCTCATAGTAATATTTGGTTTATTCTGTGTTTCCATCAATATGCAATGTGTGAGAGTAATTCTTAACTATTGTTTTACAGCTGAGATACGCAGATGATGATGATTCTAACCATGTGCTTGCACTATGATAATAGCTGTATTTACAACATATCTCTACGGGAGAAAAAAACGTTTTTCCTTTGGAAGGAAATGCACAGAAGGAAGTGTCCAGAAAAACAAGTTTTTTTTTTTTTTTTTTTTTTTAAATATGGAAATCAAGGCTGTAAAAAAATATTTGAAAAAAAAACTCTTCATTCCACTATTTGATTTAATGGTTAAATTCCCAGACTCTTACTCAAACACTGCACTAATATACTAATATAATATAAACTAAAACAAATGCAAAAATGTCTGTTTGGAAATATTATACATTATACCTGTATAATACCTGTATTCTATACTTACACTGCAAAATGTTATGAAAAATAAGTCAAGAAGTGCCCAAACTTGGCTCAATGTATCTTAATTTTAGCACAATTTGTCTGTTTGACTGAAACAAAATGATCAAAATAAAGTTCTGAATAAGACTTAATATCTTTGTCCCATTGATCGTGTTTTAAGACAGTCAGAATATACTCCAATTAAGATTCAAGCATTTATTACCTCATATTATACATTTTTGGCAGTTTATATCCTCAAGTGGGCTCACTTTTTTCAGCTTCAACTTTAGATCAAATTGTATTTGCTCCCGCATTCTAAACTACTTTGAATAAAAGTTAATTTCAGCCCAAATAGAACATATTGCTCTGGTCCTACACATCCAGAGGTGCATTTTATTTTCACACTGATCTCTTGTACTGACCCCTACCGCCTGATCCCCCCTGACAGAGGCAGACTTCGTGGGCTCGGCGCTGGTGAGAGAAGGCACAAACAACCCCGCCGGAGATGACGACAGGATCTACTTCTTCTTCACGGAGAGTGCGGAGGAGCAGGGCAGCCGGGTGGCGCGGGTGGCACGTGTGTGTAAGGTGAGGGGGCGCTGGTAAAGACTAGAGAGATGTATGAAGCCTTGAGCGAAGGAGAGCGTTCTATAACAGTCTGGAAACTGGTCACAGGGCCCTGAGGTGATTAAAGGAACACACTGCAGCTGATGGATGGACTGTGTGTCTTTGTGTTTTATAGACCGAGAGAAGGACTAGAGGCTTCTAAACAACCATGTGGGCAGATAACGCGTGGTATTAAGTGTGCTTGTCAGTCATAATAGATCAATATGGATTTGACTCAGGGCGGCTACTCTTATATTGGTAATCGACTAGACTTTTATCAATGCACTTTTCAAACTTGTAACACAAGACTGGGATACACATTTTATTGATATAATAATAAAGCTGTGTTTATTATCACAGTGTTTGAGGATAGTCCAGTGTCAATTTTGTTTTTTATTGGATTACTAAACAAGTCATGATTTAGTCTCTACCCATAATCAGTGGACATGCAACAGTTGCATAGTTGCAGAGATACTGTGCAAAAACGAATTTAATCAAATTAATTTAATCCTTTTATTTAATTTAATTTAATTCATATTGAAGGAGTGTGAAGTGTGTAATCATTTAGTTATTAGCTGAACACGGTTACAAGGATGAGTAGTTTTATCTGAAAAACTGCCAAAGTCTCCACAAATGATTTATTTTTGTGTCTAGGAGCATAACTCCAGTAACCTGCAAGATGAATTCACACTATTTTACAATCAATCTTACAATATGCTTAAAGGGGACATATCATGAAAAATCCACTTTTTGTGCCTTAAATGCCTTATGTTGTGTAGTTGGAGCCTCTAGAAGTGCAAAAAAGTTGAAATCAGTCTCTTCATGGCTTGCAGAGAACACTTCATATTCTGTTTAGGTAAGATTTTTCAACCCGTTCTGATTTTGCCATTCTCTATTACGTGTTTAGAATTATTACGTCACAGTATTTGCAGCGAGACTGCTATATAAGGGCATGGGCGTCTAACAAAACACTTCGGCCCAGCCCTCCTCCACTGTGCATCACTTAATTTGTAGTCCAAGCTCAAGGATGCCAGCGCACAGGGCTGGACTGGCCATCGGGCGTACCGGGCAATGCCCAAAGGGCCGATGCCCATATTGGGGCCGGTCTGTCTGCCTCATACAAAACACATGTTTATGAGAAGTGTAAATCCGTTGAGAATTGTTTGAGGGGGGCGCGCGTATCCGCGGGGCACCTGCTGTATGTACTCGAACGGGATTCCGCCACCTCAGTGGCCGCAGTGTTCCGGGGCATCTGAGGCCGCTTTGTAATGAGCAGCTTCCGCGTCCAGCGGCTGCGAGAGGCTGTGAGCGTCCAGCCGCTCGCAGCCGCTCCACCGTGTGTTGTGGCTGAGCGCGCAGCCTCAACGTGGCCATGTACCCAACCCCATAAACGCGCACAGGACCATGCGTGTCTTTGAGTAATCTGTGCACCCAATAAATACACTGCTGCAGGAAACAGTCCGCGTCTCCCCTCTCCTCTCGAAGCGCGATTAAACGCCCTAAATAAAGCTCTGATACCTACATTTTATATTGCATTAAAAGTTCATGTTTGAGCCCAAAAGTAATATGTTGTGAACAAATTAAACAGATTTAGAGCCAGCAAATGGCTGACAATATGCATTTCAGTCTTTTTTGACCAATTCTCATCCCTGTAACAAACAATAGGGGCGGCACGGTGGCTGAGTGGATAGCACTCTCGCCTCTCAGCAAGAAGGTCCTGGGTTCGAATCCCGGTCGGACCAGGGCCTTTCTGAGTGGAGTTTGCATGTTCTCCCCGTGTCTGCGTAGGTTTCCTCCAGGTACTCCGGTTTCCCCTACCACTAAAAATATGTCCAATAGTTCTGGCATGCGCCTTGTGTACTGGCCCCGCTCCCATCTCTGTGTGGAGTGGGAGACAAATGCCCAAAAATTAACAATTGTAAACCGCTTTGAGACTCAGATCTGCAGTGAAAAGGCGGTATATAAATAAAGATTACTTACTACTACTACTACTTACTACAATAGTGTTGTCTGTGTCCACCTCCCTCACTCTGAGACATGTTTATTACCCTCTTGTAATGTAGACTATTGCATTTTATTTTATTGTTGAAACTGCACATATCCTGATCCTCTACAGTATTTGCTTCCACATACTGTATAAACTAGGAGTCGGCAACCTGCGGCTCCGGAGGCGCATGCGTCTTTCCTTCTGTAGAAGGAAAAACGTTGTAGCTGTCTCAGAAGAAATGTGTTTATTTTTTGTTTATATTGTAATTTAAGTTGATTGTTCACAATAGTTATGCCATACCTGTGTTGCACTAGTGACTCCTTGTGGTCGATTAGGGAAATAGCAGAGCGCAAGGCACGTGTTCAATTGGATAGAGACAGATGGCTTCCGGTGATTGAAGAACACGGACACAAAAAGGTCGCTAAGAAAAGGTACAACAATTGGAAACAAAAAAAGGACTGAAATGGACTCTAACCACTCCTAAATGTTAGTGCAGAAGGCGCACACGGTATGTACTTTTATTTTGATGAATGTGGATGTTTTATTTTACTTTTAAGTTGAATTTTATTGACAAATATATTGTTTTTGCTTATAGTTTTTCACGGTGGTTGGTCGAAGGTCCAGTAAAAGAAAAGGCTGTGACAAAATAAATAACGACTAAAACATCAGTTGAAGCGTGGCTTTATCTGTACAAACAATAAACTTTGGGAGCAGTTATAGTGAAATAGCTTATCGCTGCTGTAAAGAAGCTGGACAAAGATACACGTGCGCTGTCGGAGTCACGTGCGCTCATCGCCAGAGAAGGTGACGTCGTTTGTAGCTGACGCTGAGAGGCCACAAGGGTGCAGTGTGTCATCAGCCAGCCATGCATCGAAGGACCGCTGTCATCAGCCAGCCTCCGCGTCTCCGTTTCTGCATCAGCTGGGTCTTCGGAGGACGTTAACTTCACCACAGTTGGAAATGGACTGCTCAAGAATCGCCTCATCACAGCGTAAAGTGTAAAACACATTGGAAACCAGGTCAGACTGTATCATCGGAGTTAAAAAAAAAAAAAAGAGAATAAGAAGAGAACATAGTTTGTGTTATTTGTTTTATGCAATATCATAATCTATAATGTATTATAAGAATCCTCTGTAACAGTGTATTATTTTTTAGTTTTTGAAATAGTGGGTTACGAAGATTAGTTACCTGTCATTGCTAAATATATACATATAAGTAACAGTGAATATTGCTAATATTACTCTGAAAAATGGCTACTAGGAAATGTGATATTGAGGACACTATTCAAGCTTTACAAGCTGAGGAAGAGCAATCAGAGACCGTTTTACAGACTGAACTTGAAGAATCAGAGAGAGAGAGAGGTGCAGATCTTGAAATACAAAAAACAACTACTCTTGAACCACTAGCTATTGTTGAAACAGACGTTAGACGGTCGGAAAGAGAAAGACGTTTGACTGTAAAAATGCGTGACCTAAAAAGAAATGAGTTGATAAACAAGGAGAGAAAGTTTATGTCAACTTATGTGCAGTTTAAGGCAGAGATTCAGCTCATACGATCAAAACTTAAAGTAAAATGCACAGGAGAAGAGATAGATCACATGATTCAATCTATTGAACAAATTGAGTCAGATTTAAAACGGCTTTATGATGCCATTCGTGCTATTGAATCTCCCTCTCAAGACATAAGAAGGAAAATAGATAGTTCTACATCAGTCTGTGCTGAGATTCTTGTTCTGATGAAAGAGCGTTGTGCAAATGTTGACCAAGAGTTTGATAGTGTAGCTGTGGAGGAATCACTTCACAAGTTATTACAAAGAGAAGATGCCAAATCAGTGTATGGATCTACAGTGTCGAGATCTAGTCGACGTCAGTGCAGTTTAAGTGAATCAGGGAGTCACGTATCTGCAAAAAGGGCAGATGCTGCTGCACGTTTAGCCTCTAAAAAAGCAGAAATGAATAGAGAAATGGAAATCTCGGTACAAAGACAAGAGATTGTAGCTCAGCAAGAAAAGTTGAAAATGTTGGAAAATCAAAGGGATTTTGAGGTAATAGAGGCAGAGTATAATGTGTATGCTGAAGAGGAATCCAAAGTAAATACTGAAATAAAGGATGGTGAAATAAAAGTCACTTCAAGTCAGCCTCCAATAAAGCATTACACTGTCCCGCGCCCACAAGTTTTCCTGAATCCAGCTCCACCTACTTTCCCTGAGGTCAAAAATAAGATTTCCCAAAATGTGCCAGTCTCACAGACCAGTGGCAGTAAGCTCATGTCAAAGGACAGTGAAGTATCTCTAGTTCAGGCGCTAAAAGAATCGCTCACCATGACTAGACTTCCAGAGCCATTTGTATTTAGTGGCGATCCGCTAAAGTTCATAGAGTGGAGCACTTGTTTCAAGGCTCTCATTGAAACTAGTTGTGTAGATCCAGCACATAGACTGTTCTATCTGAAAAAGTACATAAGTGGAGAAGCGCTTAGTGTATTAGAAGGGACATTCTATAGAAGTGATAAAGAAGCCTATGTACAGGCTTGGGAGGCTTTGAACAAACGTTACGGCCATCCTTTTGTAATTCAGAGAGCTTTCAGGGGAAAACTAAGCAGTTGGCCAAAGATTGGGTCAAAAGAGTCGCTCAAATTGAGAGAGTTTAGTGATTTCCTCATTTCATGTAAAAACGCTATGCCCCATGTACAAGGTCTTAGGGTATTAGACGATTGTGAGGAAAATCAAAAAATACTCCTCAAACTTCCTGACTGGGCAACAACTCGCTGGAACAGACATGTGACAAAATTACTGGATGAAGGAAAGGAATATCCAGGATTTGCGGAATTTGCAGAGTTTGTGGTTGAAGAAGCACGCATAGCATGCAACCCAGTCTCTTCCCTGTTTGCATTAAGGACATTCGATAAACCAGACAAAGAACAAAGGCGTCTAAAGGCTAGTGTCCTAACAACTACAACAAAAGTGAACAAAAATGCAAAGACAACCAGTACAACTCAG